GCTATTATCATTTTATAAAAGGGCATTTTAACTCCAAGAGTGTAGAAGACAAACCCAGGGGGAAGGACAGTCCTCCTTTCCCCACCCAAGCCCTGCCAAAGACAGCGGACACTCTCCTGTTGCCACCACACACCCACGACACCATCTTTGTTCTCATTTTCCACAGGCAAAGGGAAACTTCCTCCTAGAACTGGGCCAGGAGCCACAGCGGGGGGACTGACAGTGACCTAACAGCTCGACCCGAGAGTTAGAGCCAGTTGTGGCATCCAAAATATGACCTGTGTTTTCTTCACAGATCTGAGGTGGAGTTTGCTGAAGTGCCGTGCACGGTGCCCAGCACAGGGCTCCTGAGTACGAGACCCTGAGAGCTCCAGGCCGGTAGCTGGTGCTCCTCCCGGGGAAGAGATGCTCCATGGTCAAATGTGTTCAGGGAACACTCCGACTGTGAAAGTTAATCACTCATGCGTTTAATTCTGTAAGACTTGAACATGAAAGTGACTCTAAGACGGCATTGCAACACGCCCTGCGCCCTGACTCATTTGACCAAGGAAGCTCTTCTCAGCCCCGCCCCGCGTGCGCGCCTCCGGGGGCGGAAGGGCCGTGCATGCTCGTTCACCGCACAGCGGGCGTGCGCGCCTCCGGGGGGCGGGAGCGCCGTGCATGCTCGTTCACCGCACAGCGGGCATGCGCGCCTCCGGGGGGCGGGAGCGCCGTGCATGTTCGTTCACGCCCAGCAGGCGTGAACTTAGCGTGGGCAGCCTCGAGCACAGCAGTGCAAGCGCCGCGGGGGCACCGGCAGGCGGCAGTGAGTGATAGTCATGCACCTGGCGGGCGGCAGCGTGTACCTCGAGGTCCGAGTTGATGGAGGAGACCTCGCAGGAGCTGCTGGAAGACACGCGGGCCCGGATGACCTGAACGGGAGGGTACGAGGGGGGCTCCTGCAGTGTGGCGTCTCCAGGGCTCATCTGTCCATCGCCGGGCAGCCTGGTGGTGCTGCAGCTTGCCTGCAAGGTGTGTGGGGAAGGGCAGGCAGGGAGACTTAGCTTGCTTTATTTTTGAATTGTCAAAGCATTCAAATACTCCAGTATTGAAAGGGTACAAGGAGCGTTGGGTGGCTCAGTTGGTTAAGATCTGCCTTCAGCTCAGGTCATGATCTCAGGGTCCTGGGGTTAGCCCCACATGGGGCTCCCTGCTCAGCCGGGAGTCTGCTTCTCCCTCTGCCCTCCCCCCCACTCATGCTCTCTCTCTCTCTCTCAAATAAGTAAAATCTTTTTAAAAAGTACAAAAGGGCGTAGAATGCAAAGTCAGCCCCCACCCTAATCCCAGAGCCACCCAGGTCTCCCCAGGGGCAGCCAGGGCTCCGGTTCCTGTGCATCCACCCCGACAGTCCAGTCCATCCATACCAGTCAAATGCAAATATACATATACAAATGCAAATATACAAATATACTAGCTCCCCTAGTTCCACACAGGGTGGCAGCACATCTACACTCTCCTAGGCACCTTGCTTTTTCTCACTTCACAGTATGTTCTGGAGATAGTTCTACAGCAGAGGCTTTGTTGCTCTTTCTGTTCCTTTCGTGGCATCGTGTAGGTGTTCCCAATCTGCAAAACCTGTCCTCTACTGACGGATGTTGGGGCGTTCCCAGTCTCTTGCTTTTACAACACTGGCTGCAGGAAATTCTACTGTACATTCAAGGTTTCAGGGTACTTAAAGGATACATTTCTAGAAGCGGAATTGCTGGATCAGAGGGTATGTACATTTGTAATTTGGAGAGCTTCTGCCAAAATGTACTGCATGGCCTCATACCCACCAGCAGCTCGGGAAGGTAAAGGGAGGAAGAAACTTGCAAGATTTCCGTCCTTCCGTCCGTCCGTCCACCCACCCATCCATCCATCCATCCATCCATCCATCCGTCCATCCATCTCAGAAGAGAGCTTCCCCCCACAGGGCTCAGGGGGCTCGGTCGGAGATCCTCAGAGCCCTGCTGGCTGGGGCTTCAGAACCAGGCAGGATTTGGGTCCTTCCACTGACACACCACAGGGGAACAACCTGCCTTCTAGAGCCACATCTTCCACAACGAACTGCACACCTTGGCAAGAAATGCATCCTCCTTGAGTCTCAGTTTCCTAATCTAGCAAAGGGGGTAGTAGTCCCTGCCTTGCCTCCTTTGAAGGGGGGCACAGAGGGCTCAGGTGTAAATGCCCCGGACACATGAGAATGGCTACTTGTACTGGACCCCAAGTGACGCAGACTCCAGGCCTGGATGCATCAGGCGCAGGGTTTCACGCGAGAGCTGGCTAGATAGGCTGGGGGGGTGGGGGGCACAGGTCCCCCAGGCAACAACAATAGAGTCTGTGAATTCCTCAGGGCATGACCACACCTGAATCAAGAGAGATAATGAGTTTTCTTTTCTTTTCTTTTTTTAGAAAATGAGTTTTCAAATGCTCCAAGCCATGATCCCCATGACCCCATGGCCCTCAGCCTCTGAGCTCAGGCTGAACCCAGGTGCATCTCCTGGAAAACCTCTCCTTAGGACCAGCGAGCGCCCAGGAGGGACTGCTGGGAAGACAAGTGAGCATCCCCGTGGCCTTGTTGCCCACTTCCAGATGGCTGGGCAGACAGGACACACAGCGACGCACATGGCACCAGGGGACCTATTTCACCACAACCTCGTCCCCTGGGACATTGCCATGAAAAACAAAAAATTGGCTAACTGAGCAGGCATGAAATGAACACAGAGAACATGTTCTCCTTAAAAAAAGCTCGGGGGCGCCTGGGTGGCTCAGTCGTTAAGCGTCTGCCTTCAGCTCAGGTCATGATCCCGGGGTCCTGGGATCAAGTCCCGAACTGGGTTCCCTGCTTAGCGGAGAGCCTGCTTCTCTCTCTCCAACTCCCCCTGCTTGAGATCCCCCTCTCACTGTCTCTCTCTGTTAAAGAAAGAAAGAAAGAAATCTAAAAAAATAAATAAATAAAAAATAAAAAAAGCTCAGGTCCCAGGATCAGACAGGCTTCATTTGAAACCCATTCCTGTGCTTTTTTAACTATGAGATCTTGGGCAAGTTACTTAACCCTCCCTGCGCCTCAATTTAAAATCATAATACAATGGTTAATCATTCAGTAATAACAATAGAAATAATAATAGTTATGAGAATTTGCATTAATAATAATTTAAAAACCAACCATTTATCAAGTGCTTACTTGGTGTCAGACATTATGCCAAGTAAGAGGCAGTGTTGCCTAATGGTCAAGTGCACAGACTCGGGTAGAGATAGGTCTGAATCCTGGTTCTGCCACTGACAGACTGTGTGACCTTGAGCAAGTTGTTTAACCTCTCTGTGCCCCGTTTTCCTTATCTGTAAAATGAGGTTGGGGGTCGGCTGTGAGGTTTACATGAGTTCATGTACACAAAGCACTTAGCCCAGAGGGAGCATATCTATGGTTGGTTACAAAGCACTTAGTCCAGTACTCTAAGCACCATCTATGACCAGCGTAAGAAGCATCACGGAAGCGATGGCTGTTATTACTGTCTCAAAGACTGGCAAGTAGTTAGCCCTCAATAAACACACTACTGTGGGAGTGGTGGCCCTGGAGCCCAGAGAGGCTGCTTCGTGCCCGGCGGGGAACGGAGCCTGCAGCCTGGCTGCTGGGAGCGGTCTCAGCGACACCACTGCCCTCTGGTGGACACAGAACGAAGACGCCAAATGGGACTATTTGCTCAAAAATGTGCTGCAGGTGGCCTCAATGGAAGAGAATGAAGGAGGGACACACTTTTCTTTCCCGGAGTCTGTTCCGCGGCATGAATCCACTCAAGATTCAGGTACTGGGAGGGTTAGAGTGAATGCAAGTTTTGCACTATTATTTTTAAGAAGTTCGATGATTTAAAAATTTCTAGCGTAAAACATTCCCAGATGCTGCTGGGGTTCCCTGTGCTCTCTCCCCAGACTTCCCATCCTAAGAAGGGTTTTATGGCCCAAGTGGGCTCTTAACTGTGAAAGCGTGCTCTCGATCTCTCTGAACGCCACTGACGTCCTGGGGTTACTTGTGCCCCCTTTCCAAGGAACCACAACAAAGAGTAATAAAACCTATCTTTCAGGCCCAAATTCTGAGTACCAGCTCGTCCCTCGGGCAGCTGAACGGGGCCACTACTAATGAGCTCCGCGCCACGCTCCAAACATCCAAACAGCCTTTACCGAGGGCCTCATGCACCAGGGCCTAGGCAAACAGGAGAGAAGGAGGCAAAGTTTACATCCCAGCAGGAGACAGACAACCGAAGTAAAAGATAGTGAGAAGTGCTTTGTAGAGTATTTAAAAAGGCAGTAAAACAGAGAAATATGATAGAAGGGTAGAGGCTACTTTTGAGTGTGTAGTCGGGGATGGCCTTTGAAAAGGTGACATTTATTATAAAGATTTTTTTTGGGAGAGGGAGAGAAAGATCAAGAGCAGGGGGGAGGGGTAGAGGGAGAAGCAGACTCCCTGCTGAGCAGGGAGCTCATGAGGAGGTTTGATCCAGGCACTCTGGGATCATGACCTGAGCCGAAGGCAGATGCTTAACCGACTGAGCCACCCAGAGAAGGTGACGTTTAAACTGAAGTCTGGAAGACTGGAAGGAGGCAGCCATATAAAAGCAATTAGGAGGAAGAGCATTCTAGGCACAGGAATGGGGAGAGAAATCCTAGGCAGCTGGGAGGAGTGAGTGAAGAGGGAAGAGAATAGGAGAGAGTTGGGGAGGGAGCGAGTGCTGGGCTCCGGGGTCTCACAAGTCTGTGGAACTTTAGATTTTTTTCTGTGTGAGATGGGAAGCCAGGGGGCTTCAGACCAAGGAGGAACACGATGTAGTTGCCCCTTCTGGCTGCTGGCTGCAGGTGGAGGGGGGGCAAGGTTAACTCCCGAGAAGGGGATGAGGGAATGAGGTAGGAGGCTGCTGGCTCTCTTGTAAAAGCAGTATGTAGGATACTCACAGCTGGAGTGCACATGCAGTGAGGGGGAGAGAAGAATTTGGGGCTTGGCCAACTGCATGGAAGAGGATGGGGGAGGGGGAAGGCATGGCAATCCCAAGTTCTGTTCAGACACGGCAAGGGTGGGGTGCCATGTGGTGACCCCGCTGGGAGGGGACGGTGTGGGCACGCACACTGGGGACAGCAGCGAGAGCTGGCCCCAAGCGCTCTGGGACTGCGGGCCTGGGCGGGCAAGCACGCCGAGAGGAGGGAGCCCTGCGGGGACAGAGCTGGGGTGCTGCAGCCTCGGGGGCCAGCCCGCCCTCAGGGGCCTGCACAAGGTGGCAGAGAAGCTGGGCGCGCCGGGGCTCCATAAATCCAAAGCAGCCCGTGGCCAAGTGTGTTCAGTCCTAACCAGGACAGAGCCGACCCAGGATTTACGGCCTTGGAGGTGGCTGGAAGTCTTAGTGGGTGTGGGACGAGGGGGTGCGCTGCCTGTCACCTCTTCCCATCTCTTTTCTAAACTTCTTCCTCCCGAGGACCCTCCGCGCACAGGCTTAGGACCTCGGGAGTCATCGGGGGCGCTCAGCCTCCCTCAGCCTCGGAAGCCTCCACTCAGTCTCCGCCTCTCCCCCTGCCCCAGCCTTGGTTCAGGCCACACCACCTCTCTCCTGGACTTATAGCTGTCCCTCACTGACAGCCTTGCTTCTGTCTCCTCTCGCCTCGTCTGCCCCCCAACACTGCCTGAGTGACACCTCTGAAAGGCACATCTGCCCCTGAGTCTCTAGGCCTGATGCCTCCTGGACTCCTGCCCCTCAGGAGGACAGGCTCCACAGTGGGACGATCTCTCCCTTGCCTCCTCTCCAGCCTTTCACCCGTGCCCCACTGACGCCTTGGAGAGCTCCTTCCTCCTTTTACATGCTTTTTTGCCTCATCTTGCCCACCTGCAGCTAAAGTGTCACCTCCTCCAGGAAGCCCTCCAGGACTACTTCCCACCCCTCTGGACCCTTGGCTGTGGCCCACTGCCACTTACCTGCTGCACCGGCTCGATGGTCAGCTCCAAGTAGCGACTGATGGCTGCCATTGTCCTGAGTGATTTGCAGGGTGGTAGTGTAGTGAGAGGCACCCAATCTGAATTCTTTCAAGCAGAGACGGGGAGACAAAAACAGAATTCTTAGTCAGGAGATATTTTCCAAAAACAAAGTCCCATTTTCTTCAAAAGAATCCCTAAAATATTTTTTTCTGTTCTTTCATGGTACATTTCACTTTCTGCTTCCTATGTTATCTCTCTCTCTCTCTCTCTCTTTTTTTTTAAGATTTTATTTGTTTGAGGGGCGCCTGGGTGGCTCAGTCGTTAAGCATCTGCCTTCAGCTCAGGTCAGTCTCAAAGACTGGCAAGTAGTTAGCCCTCAATA